GCGGCCGCGCACCTGCCCCCTGCCCCGGGGGCTTCATTAGGCCTCGCCTGTGCCCGCGCGGGCGGCTCGGAGTCCGGGCATGGAGGCCACGCGGGGTCCCTGCGCGGAACTGAGGGGTGAGCGCGCCGGGGTCAGGCGACCTGGGGGTCCGGGGAGGCCCCTGGGCTGGGTGGCTTCACCTCTTTGGGGTTTTGATCCCCTAATGGTGGAGTCAGGGGGCGGGGACACTGGGCCTGGAGCCCCAGGACCCTTGGAGACCAAGTTCTGACGCCCGCCACCTTTTTTCACTGGGGTTGATCACTGCCACAAAGCATGTGTTTAGTGAGCACCTACTTTACTGTACCAGGTTTACTGGTCGCCCACAGACGCTCCTAAAGGGCTGTATACCAAATTTGTCCCCCACCCCCTCTCTGCCCTGGGGGAGTCTGTCCACTCCCTCCGCAGCCGGCTTCTGCAAACGGGGTCTCCTGTATGCCCTAGGAAATAATGCAGTAACACCAAATTATCGCTTTACTCCTGGTGAGAAAGTCCTTTCTTACGGTCCTAAGCGGCGTTAGGCTCCCACTCAAATCACAAGGCCTCTGGGTCGCTCGTTAGAAATTGCCGGGTTTGTTTGGACGTGATGCCTGGGCTGAGGGTCTGCGGTTCGGAGGGAGCCTGGAAGGACAGGGCAGCGCTGGGTGAGCCTGGGAAGGGCGCGCTGCAGCGTGGAGAGCGCAGAGTGTGCCCCTGTGCCGAGGAATGTGGAGCAGATGACTCACTTGCTAATCTCGGCTGGGAGAAGTGCTTCCTCCAAGAGATTAGTGCGAGCGCGCTGCTGCGCTAATCCTGAGAAGGTGCTGGCTCAGCACCGTGCCTGGACCTGGGTGAGCTCTGGAGGGATCAGTTGGCCCAGAGAAAGGAAGACAGCTTTAAGGATGAATGATGGGGCTTGCAGGTCCTGATGGGCCCCTCTTTCCTGGTAGGGGAGGAAAGGGGGTGGGGCAGAGCAGCTGTGGGGTTGAGGAGCCAAGGCAGGGACAGCTGAGGGCTGGGGAGGTGGGGGTGGCCTTCTCTGTCACCTTCCATGTCCCTCCTCTGCCTTCTCCAGGAGGCAGGACCAGGACCGGGCTGAAGCCAAGCATATCCCAATCAACCCACTTCTCTCCACCCTGTCCTCCTCATCCAGCAGTTGTCCCTCAGAAACATCTGGGTGTCAAACGCGCATGCCTGGTGTTTGGGAAACCACCGCACTGCTCTCCTGCCTGGGGCTAAGTACCCCTCTGAGTTACGTAAATTTGTTGCAGTTTGCAAAGCAGCCGGGTTATCTAATTTGACCCTGCCAACCCAGGGCTGGGAAAGGGAGTCTGGAATTAGGAGACCATTTGACAGATAGGCAGAAGACAGCTCGGGAGCCAATGCCAGAGCCCCTGCAGGCCGGGAAGCAGTGCTTCCTTCCAGGCAGGCCTCTTTCCTCCCTCACGGAGGTCCCATCCTGCTCCTGCAGGCCAGGAAGGAGGAGGCCCGACCCTGGCTACCAGGCTGGAGGAGGAGAAACAGCGGCAGGGCTCAACCACCCACAATCAGGATGCCCAGAGAGAGGAGTCACCACTGCCTTGCGCCCTCTCTAGAGAGAAGCCACAGCCAGGGCCATCTGGGGAGCTGGCTGAGGCTTACGCCTGTAGAGGGCGCCAGGCCCCCAGCTCCAGGCCTCTCCCCAAGGACAGAGAACCAGCCCCATCCAAACCCCCGCCTCAGGGGGAGTCCAAGCCAGGAAAGAGGCCCAGTTCACCAGCCCCTGGTAAGCAGAAGAGGCCCAGCACCCTGGCTCTGACGTCCGCATCATCTCCCAATCTCAATCACTCAACCCGGGCCAAGCACAACCCAGTGCCTTGTGGGTCAGGCCGGGGCCCCTGCCACCTGGCCAATCTACTCAGCACACTGGCCCAGAGCAGCCAAAGCACAGAGCAGAGCAAGGGGCCCCCGGAAGCGACCTGCCAAGTTCGAAAAAAGACTCGAACCCTGTACCGCTCAGGTGAGTACCTGTAGGTGAGAAATCAGGTGTTTTCTGGGAAAGGGGTGGAGCTGGAAAGAGAATGTGGTCCCAGGAAACCAGAGGGCGGGCGTGGTTAGTTTGGGTGTTACTTTGTTCTGGATCCCTCTCTTAGCCCCAAGGGCAAGGCCACACCGTCACACAGGAAAATGAGGTTGGAACCCGGTGTGGGGTGCATGCCTATAATTCCAGCACTCCAAAGGAGAAGGCAGGAAGGCCACAAGTTCAAGCCCATCCTGGGCATTTAGTGGTTTAGCAAGACCTTGTTTCAAAATAAAAAGGCTTAGGAATAGAGCTCTGGGTGAAACCCTGGGTTCAATCCCCAGTACCCCAGAAAAGACAAGACGTGAAAGCTTGGGACCAGAGTGGAAGTCTGCAAAGTAAAAACAGGAGCAAGAGAAAGCCTGGCCGACTGGGAAGCTTAGGTGCAAAGCGTTGGGGGTGAGGATGGTGATGTCATCTGCTGGAGACACGAGGGCGCTTGGCGGGCATCTCGTTTTCCTCTCTGGCCATGAAACTGGTGTTTAACCTCCTGCATGCTTCTTCCAGACCAGCTGGAGGAGCTAGAGCGGGTTTTTCAGGAGGACCACTATCCTGACAGTGACAAGCGCCGGGAGATTGCCCAGATGGTGGGGGTCAACCCCCAGCGCATCATGGTAAAAGGGAGCTGGCTAAGCAGCCAGCAGGGGTGGCCCGGGGGCACTCTCAGGGGGCAGAGAGCATGCTGCACTGCCAGCCAGGTGGGAGCTGAGGCCAGGTCGCCAGTATGGCTGTATTCTGCCTGCTTTCCCAGGGTTACACCAGCCTCAGGCAGCGAGAGGAGGAAGCCACCACGCTAACGTTTTTATAAAACCATGCTGGCGGGCTGGGGATTTAGCTCAGCGGCACAGCGCCTGCCTGGCAAGCGCAAGGTCGTGAGTTCGATTCTCGGTACCAGAAAAAAACCAAAAAAAACAAAAAACAAAACAAAAAAAAAACAATGCTGGCTGCCAGGCATCTGAAAAAAGCAGGGAAATCACTTCCCCATCCCATAGCCCATTGTGTGAGAGCCAGGACTCGGGTCTTAGACCTCTCTCAAGTTCAGAGACCTTTTCCCTGCAGGTGTGGTTCCAGAATCGCCGGGCAAAGTGGCGAAAACTAGAGAAACTGAATGGGAAGGAAAAGCAGGACGATGCCGCGGCCCCTGCTAGCAGTCAGGGCAGGTAAGCCTTTGTCTTCTTCCTGCTCCCCACCCCCACGCCCTGGGCAGGCAGCTCCATCCCAAAGGGGACCCTCAGGTCCTGAAGGAGAAAACTGGAGGCTGGGCGTGAGTCCTGGCACATTGGCTGGTATATAGAGGGTTTGACTGGAACCCCAGGAAGTCTGCATGCCCTGCAGAAGGCAGAGTTTCGGAGTCCTGTGTCCTTTCCCTGCCCTGAGGCCGTGGTCCACATCTAGATGCTACCAGAGCTGAGGTCTCTCTTCTCTCTGCCTCCAGCTCCACAGTGGAGCCCCCACCTGCTGTGCCCATGGACCCAGAGCCTGGCACCTTCCCTCTGGACCCCCCTCTGGATACCTTTCCAGGTGAGCTCCTTTCAGAAGGCTCCCCGGAAGGACTTGAAATCTCCAAAGACAGTGACAACAGAGCGTCCTGCTTGGCAGAGGCAGGAGTACATGGAGGTTCTCAGGGGTATGGGCCACGGAGGCCCGTTCAGAGCAACCTGGGAATTACATATGGCAGACCTCCGCATCCCAGGGCTGAAGCCCATCTTCTGACTCTTGGTGCTCCTCTTTGCCTTCTGTACCTAGAGCCCCCCATGCTGCTGACCTCAGACCAGACTTTGGCTCCCACCCAACAGACTGAGGGCGCTAAAAGGGTGGCGGTGACCCCGCTGCTCTTCAGCCCCCCACCTCTGCAAAGGACCAACCTTCCTTTTCCCCTGGGCCCTGTCCACACCCCGCAACTGATGCCTCTGCTGATGGATACTCCTGTCAGTCACCGAAGCCACAAGGACGGCCCCTGTGGGCCCTGGGGGACAAGGTATGGGACCTGAGGAAGGAAGTGACCTGGGTTACCTTGGGAGGGGGGTGTTGCATGTTGGGGTCTCCACCAAGATGGCGTGTGGGGGAATGAAGAGGCTACCTCCGCACCTCACTGAATCCCCACCTGTCCCCCATAGCATCACCCCACCAGCCACCTTCTCGTATTTGGACGACCTGGAGTCCCAGGATTACCAGCCAGGCTACCAGTTCTCCCAGGCTCCAGCAACCCAGCTGTGCCAAGGTCCCCAGCCCCAGCTGCCGTACCTGCCGCCCCTGCCCTTCCCCATGCCAGGTTCGCTGTCGTTTCCACCACCAGAAGACACGCTCTTTTCGTTTCCCTGTGGCTCTGCTGGGGGCACATCTCAGAGCTACTGCCCAGGCCCCCCGTCAGGGCAGATCCTGCTGCAGTCACCTGCTGGGAGTATGGGTGAGTGGGGGCTGGAAGAGAAAGTGCCCCTTGGGTTGGAGGAAGGTGTGAGGGGGGGATAGAAAGCCTCGCACTCTGGAGGGTAGACAGAGGCAATCACAGGTAGTGAGCAAATCCATTTCATCTGGTCTGCTTCCTGATCCAGCTAAGCTAGTTATAGTCCTCCTGAGTCTCTGTCAGACTGGGGAATGGGACCAAGAGTCCCAGTATCACTGAATGATGTGGTGAGGATTAGAAATGATGTGAGAGAGGACACTTGTCACAGTAGAAGGCAACTTTTATTAGTATTCTGGGGGTCACTTGAACTTCTGAAATCCCAATGCGTGTGCATCATTGAGACTAAATTCTAGTGGGAAGGGTTGGAAGACAGGTCCAGGTGGTTCCCAGCCTCCTACCTGCCTACGTGAGACTTTGCCTGACCCATGGTTCAGTCTGGGTCCATGATACCAGACTACAAAACCTAGATGCCAGGGCTTGCACTGGGATCTAGAGCTATAGTTCCCTGGACTGGGATGAGGGCAGTCTTTTCCCGAACACACTGAATGATATTTAGTCCACTCCAGTAACTCCTCCACCCTCTGGCTCCACAGGCACAGTCCCCTGGAGTGACCCATATTTGCCCGAACTGCCCTTCCCGGGTCCGTTCTGCACACAGGCTCCAGGGCACACCCCGGCAGGAGACAGCTACTTCTCCGATCTATTTGCACCTCCCTGTACCCCGGCTACGAGCAGGCAACCTTCACCAGGATTTGCCCAGCTGCCGGAAGGGGCCAGACCAGGACCTGGACCCCTACCCAGCAAGGTGCAAGAGGAGCAGACTGCCTCTTCCCTGGAGCAGCCCCAGGTACCGGCAGAGGCCAGAGAGGAAGGTGAGAATAGCCAAGTCCCCTCTCTGGGGGCCCAAGAGTGATGAGGTCAGTGGTGGTGCAGGGGTGCGGCGCCCATGCAGAGGAGTGCAACTGGAAGGCTGGGAAGACAGTGGACTGCTGACTGAGGTCAACACCTGCCTGCTTGTGGGCTTGTCTTGCTGAACATCGGCTGGAAGAGGAAGAGCATTGGCCCCACCCTTCGTCCCATGCATGTATAGCCTGGTCCTGAAGAAAGGAAAGCCCTTGTTACTATGGAATGGAGTTAGTGGTTTTTGTTGTTGCCTTTTCTTGGTAGATATTGAGATAGTGTGTCCACTGTATGCAATAAACCAGCCTACCACTGGGCTTTTCTCTGTGTATCTCCCCTCCGCAGCTACTGAGGAGCTGTTTTTCACAGCTCCATAAGCTGGCCTGTCGTTGGATGTAATCCTCAGGAGAGGTCTCCCCTGGGCACAGTGACACGGAGCCTACCATTGTCCCTAGGCCTTCTGACCACTAAAGGAGGAACTGGGCATTGGGAGTCTTTTTTCAGTCCTACCATCAAGCTGCGGTCTGCAAACCCAGAACTGAACCTGAGTCTGGGCCTCTCACTGAAATTTGGGTCCTGTAGGGACAGCATGGTGACAGGGTGCTGAGGCCATCTGAGGTCAGGTATTCTTTCCCCAATGCTCCTTTTATAATGAGGAGGGGAAGATAGAAGGAGTGGGGCGTGAGGGTGACCCAAGCAAAGATAGCAATTACATATTCTTCTCACATGGGGTGGAGCTTCAGTACCGTAGGACTCTTTGCACAGATTTCACTGGACTGGGATGAAGAATCCCTCTTTACCATCTCTATCCCAGCTTGCTGAGGCACCAAATGACACATTGCTAGGCCCCTTGAGAGGCCACCCGAAATGACCACTGTTTCTTAGTTAATTTTTACCCACGAACTCTAATTGTCTACTTTTGTTCATTTATTACGGAATGGTGATATGTAACCTGATGGCATTACCCTACGAGGTTGGGAGCTAATCTAGGCTTTGGAGACTGAGGTGTGAGAAGTGGAGGGAATGAATGTAAACAAAGATGAGGAATGTTCCTTAGGGTCTAGATAGTTGGAAATGCAGTTAGCACCCCACATCTTAGCCATGCAGTATCCAAATACAGTAAGTCCCCGACTGACAAGCTTTTGAGTTGCAAACTTTCACAGACATGAATGGACCTTGCATTAGGAACATTCGCAGATATGAACAAATCACAGAAGTAGCTCACATGTCTGCCATTGTCACAGTGTCATAGTTGTGCTGATGTGGGCAGTTACTGTACAGTGCGACAGTGTACAGTATTTGCGTTTGGTTTTTCTATGCTTTATATTGGATATTCGTGTCAAAGGTATACAAGACTCACTTTGTTGGCCTTGGAAACAAATTAACTTACAAACATTCTCCTGGAATGGAATTTGTTCATAAGTTGCACACTTACTGTAGTTAGAATTTGAGGGCTGTTGATTCAAGTAATTTCACTATGCATTTAGTACAGTATTTGTGGATGTAGGATATCATTCCTGACCTCCAAACAATTGTAAGATTACTGAAAAATACACATAAAAAACTTACAAGCTAATTAACTCAAATCCATCAGTAATTCTTGGGTCAAAGCCTATAATAACAGAAAAGGAAAAAATTTGCAAGTGGGTAAGCAACTTCTTACACAAATACTCGTGTCCTTTTATCTGTATAGTAGGTTCTTGGTATTGACAGGTTCCGTATACACAGATTCCACTAACTGAATGACCTTTACTATTTTTTGGGGGGGGGGTTTCCTCCGGTACCAGGAACCGAACTCACGACTTTGCGCTTGCCAGGCAGGCGCTCTGCCGCTGAGCTAAATCCCCAGCCCCTCCACTAACTGAATCAAAAATATTCAGGAAACAATTGTGTCTGTACTGAACATACACATTTTCTTGCCATTTTCCTAAAAAAGCATAACACCTGTTTACTTAAAATGTTTAAGATAGTATAAATGCTATATAATCTAAACTATATATACATATATGTATATATGTATATATATGGAAATGCATAGATTATATGCAAATAGTATGCCACTTTATACAAAGGATGCCTGTATTCACAGACTTTGGTGCCCATAGGAGTCCTGGAGTCAACCCATCATGGATATTTAGAGATGACTGTGTATTCTCACTGATCATCTGTGTTAGTGTCTCTGTCCTGCTAATCTAATCACCATTTGATACTGCCACTCAAGGATTACAGTAGCCAGGTTTCCATAGCCTTAATTTGGGGATTAAAATGTGTACACTGAAATAGGAAATGACCAATAAGTACAGGAAAGAACTCTGAGCATCTTTGGCCACTACAGGAATGCAAGTCAAAACAGCCCTGAGTTTCCCTTTTATTCTAGTAAGAATGGCTATCACCATGGACTCAACAACAAAAGCTGGCGGGGGGGCTGGGGATTTAGCTCAGCGGCAAAGCGCCTGCCTGGCAAGCGCAAGGTCATGAGTTCGGTTCCCTGTACCGGAGAAAAACAAACAAACAAAAAAAGCTGGGGGGCCTTGTAGGGAAAAAGAAACCCTTTGTATTGTTGGTGGGAATGTAAGCTAGTACAGCCCCTATGGAAATCAGAACAGAGATGCCTCAAAAACCCCAACACAGAAATTCCATTCGACCCAGCTATGCCATTTGTATCCTGAAAGAGTCATCACATTACAGTGCCCCGTGCATACCCCTGATTATAGAATCACAGTTCACAAGAGCTCAGTACGGAAGTGGCCATAAACAGATGAATGGATAAAGTGTGCGTTATATATGCACAGTGGAATACTACTCAGCCATAAAGGTGGATAAAATTAAGTCATTTCTAGGAAAATGGATGTATCTTGAGACCATAATGCTAAGTGAAATAAGTCATACATAGAAGGTTAAATATTATATAGTTTCTCTTCTATGAAAAACTCAAAATATAAATAATTTTGAAGAGCAGAATGAAAGATGGTAGGAAAGAGGGAGGTGAGCTTTGTGGAGACAGGGAGGGGATGTGGGTAAGTTGGGCAACAGTAGGGTGGGGGTGGAGGGAGTAAAAATGATCACGATGTGATATATATATGATGAATGTAGTTATCCATTGCAAATATCTACTACTAATACAAAGCAAACACAGAATGAGTTCAGAATTACAAATCAATGTTAGACCTGATGGTGAAGTCGAAGGAACCAAGCTGCTGACATGTAGGAATCCTTCCACCACCATCCATGGAGTGGACAGTTCTGGGTGTCCAGTAGGATGGAGGAGGGATGACTCTTACGGAAGAACCTACAATGCTTTTGAATAAGCTTATTTTTTGTTTTGTTTTTTTTTGGTTTTTCTCCGGTACCGGGAACCGAACTCAAGACCTTGCGCTTGCCAGGCAGGCGCTTTTGCCGCTGAGCTAAATCCCCAGCCCCTGAATAAGCTTATTATAAAGTTCTTCCCTCTACAAGGAAGAACTCAAATCTAGCTTAGTTGACCAGGGTTTTGTTTTCGAAACGCTGCAAAGAATACATCTGATGTCACAAAACCTGAGCCTGTAGGTCACTCCTCAGTCTTGCGTTTCAGAGGCGCTAGTGGGAGTTGCTCTCCTCAGCTCTCATGTGGTTTGGTCTCCAGCTTCTTTGCAACCCTGGATGTCTCTTAGCAAATGAAAGTGAGCTTAGCAGCGTCTCTCCTAGGTGTGGAGTCAGAAATGAGTGCTAGTTTTAGCACGATCTGCTCAGGTGCACGAACAGTGAGATTATCACCTTCACCAAAGAGCATATTCTGCTGATGTTGCATCTATTAAAAAACTATCAAGCAAACTAGAGTCGGGGGTGGGGAGGGTTGGCCTTTTTTTTTTTTGCAGCCCGTTTATGTGCTTGGTCCAAAACTTATTTGCAGCTCTGGCCTCTAGATTATTTAAATAGAAGCGGTTTGAAAGGCAGGTCATTCTCATTTCATACTTTATTAACATTTTGAGACTAAATATACAAAGGTTTATGTTACTTCTTCATTTCATCTGGTTAATTTTAGATCTTTTTCAGTTTTTAAAGATGTTTCAGAGTCCTTATATAACATGACCCATTTTTTGCAACTTTGTTCTACCTGCAGATTTGATCAGTAAGTTTCATGTATTTTATAATGAAATAATTGATAAATCAGTAAATAAGTAAGTACAAGTTATTTTGGCATTTCTACTTGAACTATTTCATTAATGGACACTGCCGTAGAGAGTTCAACTAGTGACAATTCTGCCTTAACTGTATATTTTTCATCCAAAGCTATTCCACAAACATTTTCTTGGGGACAATGCTGTTTTATGACTCGGTAATATCAAAATATATTTTCTGTAGAGCAACTGGGTAACATAACATTGTTATAAACTCAACCACATAACAAATGAGATTAATTTGAGGAGGCATACACTTGGGGAACACCTATTTTCTTTTCTCTAAATTTTTTTCTAAATATTTATAAACCACCTTTCAATTCTGTCTTATAGAAACCTATGGGAATTTTAGTTTATAAAAATTATCTCTTTCAAAAATAAGGTATTTGTTTTTATTATGTCCTAGAGACCCTCTCCTGTTCTACATTGGAAAAAAAATAATTATTTAAAGTAGCTATATATCCCTGGTTTGGTTTTTAAGTCCACCTTATTTATTTAACTTCTAGAATAGTTTTCTTTCTTTGAGCATACAAAAGTAAGAATTAAGTGGTTTTGCCAGGCATGGTGGGGCACACCGGTAATCCCAGCACTCGGGAGGCTGAGGCAGGAGGATCATTGTGAGTTCAAGGCCAGCCTGAACTGCATAGCAAGACCCTGTCTCAAAAAGACAAAAAAAAAAAAAAAAATTAAGTGGTTTTTGCTGTATCTATATTATATGTACACTTATCTTTCCCCTGTTCCTTCCTTTTTTGAAGGTTGGTTTTAGTACTACAATTGCTAGTCGTCTTTGTCCACTTTATACTGCTACGAGAGAATACACAGACTGCGTGATCTGAAAAGAGCAGAAATGTATGTGGCTCACAGTTCTGGGGCTGGAAAGTCTGAGATCAAGGGGCTACAGGTATCTGTTGATGCAGCGGGAGGCATCACATGCCATACCATTGGAGAGGCTGAACAGGAAAGAAATGAACTTGCATTGGGCTGGGGATTTAGCTCAGCAGCACAGCGCCTGCCTCGCAAGCGCAAGGTCATGAGTTCGATTCCTGGTACCAGAAAAAAAAAAAAAAACGAAAAAAAGAAAAATAAGAAATGAACTTGCATTTATAACAAACCTACTCCTGCCATAACGACACAA